ACACATAGTAAATGTAACATTTTTTTTTTCGAATTCGCTTTTTTATAAACACCTTTACAGTGTTTTTTTCTTTTACTTTATAAAGTTTACACCTTATAGTACCTCACATTCTTATACTGATTTCTATCAACATTGGTGATGCTCTTTGTCTTTATTGCTCTTCAAACACAGAGAGATTCAACCAGACCATTCAAAATAGTATGGCAAAGTCATACGATGACCCAAAAAAGTGTGACGAGACCCTAGCAGACTGTGTATTTGCCGATTCTAGGACAATTCCCCCCTGGACAATTCCCCCCCGGACTATTACGCCCGGACAATTCCCCCCTGGACAATTCCCCCCCCCCAGGACAATTCCCCCCTCCCGGACGATTCCCCCCCGAAGAATATATATATTTATATACAAATATAAAGTAAAGAATACAAAGTTCAAAGTTCTTTTCATCCATTTTTGAATATTTCTTAGTGTGATGATGCAAATCAAGGATAGATAATATTAATTCTATTAAACAATTTATTTTCTTGGAGTTCAAGTACATGANTATATATATATATATATATATATATATATAAAGTAAAGAATACAAAGTTCAAAGTTCTTTTCATCCATTTTTGAATAGACCGGGGGGGGGGGGGGGGGGGGATTGTCCAGGGGGGAATTGTCCTGATACCGTATTTGCCTACAACACAGCAATACAAGATTCCACCAAGATGAGTCCCTATTTCTTGATGTTAGGAGTGTATGTATTTTAATCGCAGCAAATTGAAATATACTGTTATAAATCAATAAAAGAACAATTTAGATATTCACTTTCATTATAAGTTGCAGTTGTAAACAATCATACCGGTATAGTTTTATTTCTATGTACATTAACTGATAGATCAACACTGTGTTTTTTCATTGTACACAGTGCTGACAATATGACAGATCTAATGCCAACAACATTTTTGATAATAACAACTGCCAATACACTTCATTTCAGGGAGCCAAGTCTTCAAACTGATGAAGAAGTTGGTGATATTGACTATTGTGGAAGATGTGCATTCCAGGGTAGAAACTGTAAACCACCTCCTCAATATAGTCAGACATGCAGCACAGAAGAACATCCCTACTGCCCAAGAATAGCAAAAATATATATATATTACGACTTGAGACACCAGAGTGAGGTAGGAATTATTTCTTGCTAATCATACACTAAGGATTTAAAATTTAAGTATTGTATTACTTTCACAGAAAATCTATATCTTTATCAAATACACTGACATTGTGTAATTTTCTTTATAGTACGTAGTTTCACTGGTGTGTGGCATAGATTTGTTTTAACCATCGTTAATACATACAATTTTTTATATTTTTCATGAAGGACTTTCAGATTGGAAGAAAAGGGTTAAAGAAAAACTTCAGAAGAGAAGATTGAAAGGGGGGCAAAGCTGCCCCAAGGTACATGGGGCCATACATAATAGTGGTGAAGAAGCCAAACGGCACGTATATTCTGGAAAATTTACACTGGAAAAAGTTTAAGAGGGCTGTGTGTGCTTGTCAACTAAAGCAGTACAGAGAAAATAGGTGATTTTTCTTTTTAAAAATTTTACAAAATGTAAATAGCAACTTTTATCTAATCCTTCTATAAAAACAATGTTAGCTATTGAAACATCAACTTTATATTTATTGTCATTGCGTTTTCATGATCAATTTGGACGGCATTTACAGCACGTTGATTTTTCTGTATTTCAGAGCTGAAGGCGAAGCTGAAACCAGGTAAATATTAAAGAATGACACAATTGAGTATTTTGTACAACAAAGAAGACTTTAAACAATAAACACCTAGTTAAAACAGGCTTTCTGTATTCTTGTCTTTTTTTAATTCAATAAATTATATATTTTTATTGATAATTGGTTACAATTATATTGCACCAATAGAACTATAACTTCAGTGAAACGTATAAAGCGTATAGATTGCAAAAAAAAGGAATATTATGGGTACGAATTAAAGTCAATTTTCTTTTGCCTAAAGTGCAACAGTATGGGGGACCCTGCGATTCAAAGCGGACTGTTCTTTTTAAATCTGAAAGTCTGCGGATTGTACGTTTTAATATAGGAAGTCCCCCAGACTTTCAGATTTAAAACTTAGGGTCCGCCGGATTCTGAAAGGGCTAGACTCTACGGCACACTATACCGGCGTTGTTCTTGGTCTAAGCAAAATGAGAAGGCAATTTTCATTCTCATTCAAAGGAGTTCGTTCGCGAAAGAGTGTCAGTGGAAGATTGTTATCGATTGTTTTTAACCCTCTATCCCCATTGAAATTTATAATTTTTTAAATATTTTTTCATTTTATTTTTACCCATGCCCCCCCCTTCCCGGTTACGCCCCTGNATAAAAATGCTTAATACTGATTATGAAATGGTTATCCATCAATTACTATATATGACAGGCCAAAATTTAACACACCCACAATTCCTTTTTCCTTTAACACAGATATTACTTTATATTTATGTTATTGTCAGATTGGAATCGACCTTGTGGCAATGGAGGAATCGTACAATGTTCAGTGTTGCGCTATTTGACAAAACATGCTTCGGCAAAACCTTTTAAGAGCAAAGGTGCCACTGAAGTGGCTTCATACCTCCTTGAACTCATGATGATGTCAGTGTTTTATTCTATAGTGCTAAAACTTATTCATTTTGCCTATGAATCATTATCTATGTATCTCGTCATTATTAAATAACATAGTGAGATAATATATTAAAGTAATGTTATCTAATATTTTATTTCATAATGCTATTAATTACCTGATTTAGATTAGGATTCTTGAGTGTGATCATTTCTGACAAGGGGCAGGAATTCAACCACCACCTCATTGATGAGATTTATAAAACAACTAAAACAAGAAGACAAGTAACCTCCCCATATCACCCACAGTCAAACGGCTTAACTGGTGAGTTGATCTGCCTCATTCCAACTAAATCAGCGATCTTTTCATTATTTAATCAATTTTGAAATTTCCCTATTAGTGCCAGTTCGAATTTTAACACAAACACATAGTAAAAGTAACATAATTTTTTTTCAAATTCGCTTTTTCATAAACACTTTTACAGTGTTTTTTTCTTTTACTTTATAAAGTTTACACCTTATAGTACCTCACGTTCTTATACTGATTTCTATCGCCATTGATGATGCTCTTTGTCTTTATTGCTCTTCAAACACAGAGAGATTCAACCAGACCATTCAAAATAGTATGGCAAAGTCATACGATGACCCAAAAAAGTGTGACGAGACCCTAGCAGGCTGTGTATTTGCCTACAACACAGCAATTAATACAAGATTCCACCAATATGAGTCCCTATTTCTTGATGTTTGGAGTGTATGTATTTTAATCGCAGCAAATTGAAATATACTGTTATAAATCAATAAAAGAACAATTTAGATATTCACTTTTATTATAAGTTGCAGTTGTAAACAATCATATAGTTTTATTTCTATGTACATTAACTGATAGATCAACACTGTGTTTTTTCATTGTACACAGTGCTGACAATATGACAGATCAAATGCCAACAACATTTTTAATAATAACAACTGCCAATACACTTCATTTCAGGGAGCCAAGTCTTCAAACTGATGAAGAAGTTGGTGATATTGTGGAAGATGTGCATTCCAGGGTAGAAACCGTAAACCACCTCCTCAATATAGTCAGACATACAGCACAGAAGAACATCCGTACTGCCCAAGAAGAGCAAAAAAATATATATATTATGACTTGAGACACCAGAGTGAGGTAGGAATTAATTTCTTGCTAATGATACACAAATGATTTAAAACTTAAGTATTGTATTACTTTCACAGAAAATCTACAGGTATATCTTTATCAAATACATTGACATTACGTAATTTCCTTTATAGTACGTAGTTTCACTGGTGTGTGGCATAGATTTGATTTAACCATCGATAATACATAGAATTTTTTATATTTTTCATGAAGGACTTTCAGATTGGAAGTAAAGTGTTAAAGAAAAACCTCAGAAGGGAAGACAGAAAGGGGGGCAAAGCTGCCCCAAGGTACATGGGGCCATACATAATAGTGGTGAAGAAGCCAAACGGCACGTATATTCTGGAAAATTTACACTGGAAAAAGTTTAAGAGGGCTGTGGGTGCTGGTCAACTGAAGTAGTACAGAGAAAATAGGTGATTTTTCTTTTTAAAAATTTTACAAAATGTAAATAGCAACTTTTATCTAATCCTTCTATAAAAACAATGTTAGCTATTGAAACATCAACTTTATATTTATTGTCATTGCGTTTTCATGATCAATTTGGACAGCATTTACAGCACGTTGATTTTTCTGTATTTCAGAGCTGAAGACGAAGCTGAAACCAGGTAAATATTAAAGAATGACACAATTGAGTATTTTGTACAACAAAGAAGACTTTAAACAATAAACACCCAGTTAAAACAGGCTTTCTGTATTCTTGTCTTTTTTTAATTCAATAAATTATATATTTTTATTGATAATTGGTTACAATTAAATTGCACCAATAGAACTATAACTTCAGTGAAACGTATAAAGCATACAGATTGCAAAAAAAAGGAATATTATGGGTACGAATTAAACTCGATTTTCTTTTGCCTAAAGTGCAACAGTATGGGGGACCCTGCAATTCAAAGCAGACTGTTCATTTTAAATCTGAAAGTCTGCGGATTGTATGTTTTAATATAGGAAGTCCCCCGGACTTTCAGATTTAAAACTTAGTATCCGTGGACCCTACGTTTAAAAACTGAGTGTCTGTCAGTTTTAAAACATAGGGTCCACTGGATTCTGAAAGGGCTAGACTCTACTACACCGGCGATCGTTCTCAGTCTAAGGAGTTCGTTCGCGAAAGAGCGTCAGTGAAAGATTGTTATCGATTGTTTTTAACCCTCTATCCCCATTGAAATTTATAATTTTTTTAATATTTTATCATTTTATTTTTATCCATGCCCCCCCCTTTCCCGGTTACGCCCCTGCCATTCATGCAGTTTTCAGTTTCCTTCTAAAAAGTAAAGGCCGCAGTACTTTCTTTGATAACTTATACACAAACACAGCCATGAGAACTACAGTAAGAATACCACTGAAAGCAAGCACAGCCATGACGACGCCGACATCCAGTAAGAAATACTGGACCCAGTTCAGTCTGTAAGCTGCTTGTGAGTGAAAGTGATCCGAGCCATTGTGGCGTATTACATAGTTTATCCAATATAACAACTCATCTTGCCCAGACATGGGGGTGTCTTTGAGGAGCTCTGAGAGCTTAACAGCATTTTCCTTGAACACTTTACTCTCCAGAACACTGTGTATGGTCGTCTCCAGGATGTCCTCAGTCAAGGAACTAAAGGCCAGCCTCACTCCAACCCCAGCCCTGTCTGTTAGTGTTCTGGCGTGGTGATGCTGGTCAAACAGCAGAGGAATGGCGACCACAGGGACAGCATGGTACAGCGTCTCCCAGGTACTGCTCACTCCACAGTGGCTGATGAACAGTCTGGTGGCAGGATGGGCCAGGAGGTCATTCTGGGGGAACCATTCTACCAGGTGGGTGTTCCTGCCCAGGGATTTTGGAGGTGTTCCCTTGTAGCGCCACAGAACCTTCTGGGGAAGTTTGGCAAATACTCTGGCAAAAAGTTCTGCTTTTTCTTCAAGCATGGTTGGAACCAAGGTACCAAAGCTCATGAGAACAATGCCGTGATCAGCCCAGGAGACCAGGTCACTGAAATACTGGGGCAGAGGTTGGGGTGGTGTCCAGAGGAGGCCAGGGATGGGTTTGACATGAGGCATGACAGGGCACGGGTAATTAAAAGCAAAATGGACATTGGCTGCAATGACCAGTGAAACACGTTCAAAAGCATGTCGCATGTGGGGCCAGTTCTCATTGGGAAAATATTCCCATCGTTTTCTCTCTAAAGCTTCTATTTTGTCATTCATCCACTTTGTACCTTCCCAGTGATCGTACATGTTTTGAATTCGTTCCCAGAGAGTCATGTGATCTGACAGGCCGCCTAAAGGAAACGGCATGTAAGAGTAGAAGACAGGCTGGTGGAAGACCCACCACGAGTTCCAGAACCCATAGTTAGAGTAGACAATGGACGGCACCTGTAAGTATTCATTCAGGAATATCCCTGGACCATAGTTTACAAAATCAAAGAAATAAAGGGAGAAGTTTTCCTGTTTCAGACTCTGAATTAAGGTTTGGTCTCCAAATAAAGCATCACACAGGGTAAACTCCATGATGTCTGTGTCTCTAAGGAGAGGGATGGCCGGCTGGTCAATGTAGCTGAGAGCAGTGGTCAAGTCCAGCTCTCCACCTTGGTTGATCCATACCTCTGGCATTTTGTACCGAATCAAATGCACACCATCTATATTCCTGCTTGGCTGGTAATGGTCACTGACCAACATACTGACAGAATGATTATTGTCCCTTAGCAAGATGGCAATTTTCTCTATATTCATGGTTCTTGAGTTAAATATCTGTGAGAATGGGAAAAGAAGTATTTTCTCTCCCTTACAAATATTTAACATTACAGTCAACAAAGCCATATAAATGTGTGCCTTGATGTCCATAGTGCAGTATATGGTCCATCCAGGTAAATGAACCACTTCAGTGCTTCTTATTTACAGTGTCAGCTCCTCTTTCACATCAGTGTTAGCTTATATCCCTCTTTAGATAACAAGATAAGGTCAATAAAGGTCACGCTGGGGTAGCGATATGTTCAGGCTGGATGTACGGGGACTGGGTCAGGTTACAGAGATTGTGGGGTGAATCACAGTACTATGTATATATACTACTGCCTGATGATGGCTAGGGAATATCAGTTATTTCAGGGGGAGATCTGTTGCTACAAATATATATGAGCTAAACATGCTTATTTTTGTGATTATGAGCAAAAAAGGATAAAACTGAGATCACTAATATGATTACACACACATTATGATTTTTATATCTTTCTACATGTCATTTGGTAATCATTTCAGAAAACTGTTTAATAACATCAACAACTGCAGAAGCATGTATCGTTTCAACAAAAATGAAGTTCACACACACTGGTAACAAGCTATAATTTTAAATGCATACAAATTGTTTTAATTGAAAAACATTGGTTTACAACAACAACAAAAGACACCATTCGGTTCTAGTGATCAGTAGTGTTTTACATAGAGAAAATATGTTTTTAATGAGCATACTTCACAAACTTAGTGTTTTTTATTTTACATCTGTGACAACAAAACTATAAAACACGTAATTTACTGAAGAATTTAGATAAGTTGTTGACCAACCCACAAAGGAACCCCCACAAATCTTCCTTGACTACCTTAACTTCCAGGCAGTGTCAGTTTCAACCTAATTCTTCTCCCAGTATTCTCTCCCCTTATCACATGCATATACATGTACATGTAGTACCTGACAGAGCACATTCCAAACAGCAGGCTATCAGATCCGCAGATCAAATATGATGACCCACTGAAAAGCTTGCCGCTTAATTCTCGATTAGACACTGAATAAATTCCCTGTGCGGATTTCACAACAAGCATTCGAGTGGGTCAGACATATTTGATCTGCGGAACTGCTAGTCAGTTGTTCTGAACGCGATCATAACCAGCAGAACTTACCTTCTGTGGCTTGACTGGGGGTCCCTGGTCTGTGAGCAGTTTCACCAAATGTGCCTTGTCCTGAAAAGCATAGGAAATCCTATGTATTCAACTGTAGCAGGATAATTATTGACATTTCCAAATATTCACATTAAAACTGATCTTTTCTTTAATTTCATTATCTTGTCAATACCCTCTGTTTATACCATTAATACATGGAACATCATTTATAAAAATGATAAAAGGACTGGGAGCCCTGCTCAAATAATAATAATAATAATAATGCTAGTGAAATTACAGTGAATGCAAGCAGCCATGCACTTGGTTCTGAAAAAATATATTCTAAAATTGTACATGTGGTCAGTTATTTCTGTGTCAGCAAATATTATATGAAGTGCTTATCATTATGAATTACAAAATTGTTTAGAAGACAAAAAGTATTTCTCAACTGTTTTTTCAGGACAAAATCATTCATTTAATATGTAAAAAAAAACACAGATACATACACGTACACCAACTTTGTGTTGTCAGAGAAATTTTGCATTTGTAAATTGATGGTGCAAATATTTTAATAGTGACCCAGTTGTACCTAAAATCCTCAATTATTTAGTCCTGAAACTAAATGCAATCCAAAGCAACTATCTTAACAAGATTTATGATCATCAAAATGAGAATCTAAGTATGACATATAAAAGAAACAAAATTAATGGAATGCACAATTGAGCCATATCATTCATAAAGTACTGAGTCACGATAATGAAAACCATTACCATGGCAACCTTGGACTTTTTGAAAAATTCATTTTTCAGTAACTGTTTTGCTGTTGGTCTGGAAAAGAAAAATATTATGTGTTAGACCAGCCCGTGAGCACATACATGTATTTTCAAATCAGTATTAGGACCACTCTTGTAAATACAACCTTTAGTTTGTAACAATTAAGTGTAACATCATGAAAAATATAATTTAAAGATATTAATCAAAAAGAACTAATACATTACTTGTTTTTGCAGGCAATTCATACATTTACACTGACTCCCTTTACTACACTCATCTGTAACTTTCTCAGTACATTTGACCATCATTTTTGTACTTAGTTCCTGCCTTCAATAAAACAGCACTGTAACTTCTAAATGACTCAGAGCTAATAATTACATTCAAAATTGACAGTTTTACCTTTTCTCTGGTTCCTTTTTAAGGCACTCAGCTATCATCTTGCTAAATAGTTTGCCATAGTTTTTATACTGATCCTTGTCCTCGGCCGCTGAGTCTATGTTTGGCGGCTCATTCTGGAGGGTCAGCATTAAAACCTACACACGTTCAGATAAAAATATCAGCATAAAAACCTACACACAACATTCACATCACAACATCAGCATTAAAACCTACACACAACATTCAGATCAAAACATCAGCATTAAAACCTACACACAACATTCAGATCAAAACATCAGCATTAAAACCTACACACAACATTCAGATCAAAACATCAGCATTAAAACCTACACACAACATTCAGATCAAAACATCAGCATTAAAACCTACACACAACATTG